ATAAAACCGAAAACCTCTCTGTATCTCTCTCTCTCTCTCTCTCTCTCTCTCTCTCCTCCGCCGCCCTCCACCACCGTAGCGCCGCCTCGAGGGGGAAAAAACTATGAGATGGTGGGTCTGAGTGTAATACTTGAGAATTACAGAGATCTCTCAGAAAAGAGGAGCCCACAAGTCATCAGCAAAGGAATCATCAGCATGATAAAGCAGCCGCCCCACTCAAATCCTTCATCTCCCACATCGACAAATGGGTTTTTCAGGAGGAAACAAAATGTCTCTGATCCCTCCTCTTCTTCTTCCTCTGCTTGTGGCTTTCTTGAGTGTTGTTTTCTCTGCAGGAAAAAGCTCTTGCCAGGAAATGATATCTACATGTACAAGTAAGTTAAAAATGTAAACTTTAGGGTCTTTTCCTTTGCAATCTTTCAAGTATTACCGAAAATTTGTGAAAAGGGGTTGGATTTTGAGTAAGTGGGCTTCACAATCGAACATTTGGGAGTGCTGTTGAGGTGAAAAGATTGGAACTTTGAGTGAGATTCGATGTGGGAATATGATAGCTTTTGTAATGAGGTATTAATTTAATTACCAAGAAATGTCTATGTAATTTGATTGGATGAAAGTTTTGATTTTTTTACTTTCAACAGAGTAAAACTGTAAAAAAAAAGTGAATTTTGGCCCAATTGAAAGAGAAAGAAAATTAAATAATTAATTATTTTGCAATAGGGTTTCTACTTTATTTTTGGTTATTTAATTTTGCAATAGTAAGAGGGTGTAATTGTAATTAATAATTCTTGACGAACAGAGGGGATACGGCATTCTGCAGCGTGGAGTGCAGGTACAAGCAGATCTTCATGGATGAGGAGGAGGCCAGTGCAAAGAGTAGTTGTACCTTAGAGTACAACTGCTCAGCACCATCTTCGTCTTCGTCTGCTCGCACTGCAGGCAAAGGGCCGAGAAATCGTGCACACGCTTTTGCTTAGTGAGGGGGAGTGCGTTTTTGCCTTTTGGGTTGGGAGATTCACATAGTTGAATTTTTCCGTTTATACCCTTTTGCTGGATTTTGCTGTGATGATGCCGCCTTGCGTGCCCTACTCTTTTTTATTTACTCTTATATCATCTTTTAATCGTATATTCGTATGGGGTGCTCCCCAGAACGAGGCCAGGGGTTTTTTTGTCATTTCATGTAAGCGGCCCATTGGTTTTGGTTCTCTGTATTATGCGTGTTGGGTGTTCAAACCGCTGGCTGAGGGTATTGGGGAATCTTTAAAATTATATGAATTTGTTGTTTTGTTTTGGTTGATTATTTTGTGTGTACTACTTCTTTCTGTTGAAGGGTGTTTTTGGAAGTTTGGTTCTGTGCGCATCGAGTGTTAAATTAATAAATTATTGAAATTTAGGATCGTTAGACTTAGACATTTATTTAATATCAACCGTGGCATGATTAGTACGATGGAATGAAATTTGGTGGCAATAGAATGGGTTGAAAAAAGTAAAATAATCATGGGAATAGAATAAAACAAATTGTTTTATTGATGTGTTTGGTATGCAGAAGCAATAAAATCGGGGTGAAATGATATTATCATCTTTTATTATTATTTTTTCTTATTCTTGTTAAAATGATATTTAACAACTATATGTATTTGGCCTGTTTATAAATTAGTAATTGGGCTTAGCACATTTGAGGTTGTTTTTATATATATTGGGCTTGTGCTTAGTGATATGTTGTAGTATTCATTATCAGCCCAATAGGTTTATTTCTCCTTCATATAAAAAGGAGAATTAGGGTTGTACAAGTCACTTTGGTTTTTCCCAAATTTCATATCAATGAAGCTTTCCACTTTTCTCTAGCTTGTACAGAATTTCATTCAATGAATCGATCATCGTTCATATTATGGTATCAATCGCTGAGTTTCACTCGATCCTTTACTGATATTCTTCCGCTGCTTCATCCATTTTCTCGATTGTTGTTTTGGATTTGTAGATCTGGTTCTCGAAACCCTAGATCTGCGTTTTCAAAACCCTGCGATTTGAGATTTTTTGCTTGCGTTTTGAGCTTTCTACTTCCAGATCGATCATCTTCATATCATTGTTGTCGATTTCTATGGCCACTCATACTGCTGCACCACCGACCGATGATCCGTCGTCACCGTTCTTCTTGCATCCCAGCGACAATCCAGGAGCACTCATTGTTGCAGAGATCTTCACGGGAGAAAACTATGTCTCCTGGTCTCACGCGATACTCATGGCTCTAAGCGTTAAAAATAAGGCAGGCTTCATCGATGGTACTGTTATTGTCCCTTCTCTCACTCAGTCTCCTATTGAGTCACTTGCATGGGTCAGGGCTAACAATCTGGTACTATCTTGGTTACTTAACTCTGTGTCTAAAGAAATTCGTCAATCCTTACTATTTTTTACTGTGGCTAAAGATGTTTGGGATGAAATCAAGTCTCGATATGCTTTGAGTAGTGGTCCTAGGGTTTTCCAACTTGAAAAATCCCTTAGTTCTATGGACCAGGGCACTATGTCTGTGACTCAATACTACAATGCTTTCAAATCTCTGTGGGATGAATACATTACTTATCGCCCTGTTATTCGTTGTACTTGTGGTGCCTGCAATTCATGTACCTGTAATATTTTTGATGCCATGTCCACTGCTCAACAATCTGATTCTGTTATGAAATTTATCATTGGGCTTAATGATTCCTTTTCATCTCTGAGAAGCCATTTTCTATTGACATCTCCTCTGCCTTCTTTATCCAAAGTATATTCCTTGTTACTCCAAGAGGAGAGTCAACGCAATCTTCATATTCCAAACAAAACAGTTGATCACCTTGCTATGCTAGCCAAAACATCTCAGTCCCATAACAAATTTCAAATCCCTGCTTCTCAGTCCAAACCACAAACCTTCACCAAAGAGAAAAAGAAACTTAAATGCCAACATTGTGGCTTCAGTAACCACTCTTCTGAGAGATGCTATCAGGTCATTGGTTATCCTTCTAACTGGGTAGGTCCTAAGGGTCCTCGAGTTCATCCTTCTCATGTTGTAGCCAATGCTGTTTCCTCTACACTTCCAACCCAAACACCATCCACTGACAACCAAAATCCAAACATGACTGATGCTCTTTTTCATGAGTTCCTTGATTTTAAAAGATCTCAGGCTCTTAAACAAACCACAGTCCCACAATCCATCTCCTCATCTCCTGTGGTTGCCACTGTTTTTACTCCATCCTCCTCTGCAGGTAAATTGCATTTTTCATGTTCTGCACAATCTTCTTTTAATAATCATACATGGATTCTTGATACTGGTGCTACTGATCACATGGTCTGTGATTTATCTTTATTTACTTCTGCACCTAAATCTGTTTCTATTCAAGTTAATTTACCCAATGGACAACATACTTCTGCATGCCATGTGGGACAGATAAATCTGGGACCTAATCTTGTGCTGCAGGATGTATTGTTCGTTCCTACCTTTACTTTCAATCTCATTTCTGTTTCTAAGCTTACTTCTACAAATGATTGTGTTGTCAATTTCATGTCATCTTATTGCATATTACAGGACATCAAAACCAACAGAATGATTGGTTTTGCTGAAGCAAAGAATGGTCTATATCATCTGTCTTTACATTCTGATAACCCTGTTGCACATATTTCTGGAAACCATGTATCACATATACCTGACAAACATGTTATACCTACATCTGCAAACCATGTATCCCATGTTACACATACTCATGTTAATTCTGTGGCTCATGTATCTTCTAATACTTCTGAACTTTGGCATGCAAGACTTGGACATTTATCATACAATAAGCTTGCTACTCTGCCTATATCTGTAAATTGCAAGTCTCATCTGCATAGTCCCTGTGACATCTGTCATTTCAGCAGACAAAAGAAATTATCTTTTAATCTCAGCACATCTATTGCATCTGCTGCTTTTGAACTTATTCATTGTGACCTCTGGGGTCCTTTCTCTGTCCCATCTATTTCTGGTCACAAATATTTTCTTACAATTGTAGATGATTACAACAGAACCACTTGGATTTATCCATTGCTTTTAAAATCAGATACTCATTATTATCTGCAGCACTTCTATAACTTGATTCTTACTCAATTCAACAAGAAAATCATGACCATTAGAACAGACAATGGCACTGAATTTTTATTGCATAATTTCTATCATTCTCATGGCATCATACATCAAACATCATGTGTTGAAACACCTCAGCAAAATGGCAGAGTTGAAAGGAAACATCAACATTTATTACAGGTAGCTAGGGCTATCATGTTTCATGCTCATTTGCCTTTACATTTCTGGATAGATTGCATTACTGCTGCTGCACACATCATAAACAGAGTCCCATCTCATGTTCTTCAAAATAAATCCCCTTTTGAACTTCTTTTTCAAAAGAAACCTACCTATGATCATTTCAAAGTTATAGGATCTTTATGTTATGCATCTACTTTACAACAAGGTAGGACAAAATTTGACCCAAGAGCATCCAAATGCATAATGCTTGGTTATCCACTAGGTTGTAAAGGTTATAGGCTTTACAACTTGGATACCAAGAAAATTATAATCTCCAGAAATGTCATATTTTATGAAAATGTCCTCCCATTTCACAATCATTCTCTTACTGCTCCTAATGATTCTCCAGATCCTTCCTTAATGTTTCCTACCCCACCTGAATTTCCTCATGATCTTACACAAACAAACACAACACAACCTTTGCCAACACCCTCAGCTCCAACATCACCTAACAACTCCACACCATCATCTCCCTCCACCTCTCCCAACACTTCTTCATCACCATCTACTTCACATAACCCTTCACTCCAACAAACAATACCTGATGTTCCCAATACCAGAAGATCCTCCAGAAAAAGAACCATACCATCTTACCTCAATGATTATAAACACTCTCTTCCCTCAGCCACCAATCTTGTTTTGACTGAGGACAATGACAATATTTCTGGAACATCTCATAACATCATTTCATATCCTATTGAACATCATTTATCTACTACACAACTGTCACCCTCTCATGCATGTTTTACTGCATCCATCTCCACTCTGACTGAACCCAAAACCTATAAACAAGCTGTTAAAGACCCTCTTTGGCAATCTGCCATGAACAAAGAATTACAAGCCCTTGAGAAAACAAACACATGGGTCTTAACAGATTTGCCCCCTGGTAAACACACAATAGGTTGTAAATGGGTATATAAAATTAAATATAAGTCTGATGGTTTAATAGAGAGATACAAAGCCAGACTAGTAGCAAAAAGCTACACACAGGAGGAAGGTATAGATTATTTTGATACTTTTTCTCCTGTTGCTAAAATCACTTCAGTTAGATTATTACTTGCTGTTGCATCCATCAAACATTGGCATGTTCATCAATTAGATGTTAATAATGCATTTTTACATGGTGACCTCAATGAGGAAGTGTATATGACCCCACCCCCTGGATATTTACCTTCTTCTGTACATGATTCTAGGGTTTGCAAATTGACAAAAAGTCTTTATGGCCTTAAACAAGCCTCTAGACAATGGTTTCAAAAGTTAACAACTTGTTTGCTGCATTATGGTTTCAGCCAGTCTATATCTGATAGTTCTTTGTTTACAATGCAATCTGATAATCATTTTTTGGCATTATTAGTATATGTAGATGATATTATTTTAACTGGTGATGATCTTGATCAAATTACAGCTATTAAGAATCATTTGGATAATTGTTTCACAATAAAAGATCTTGGCCAATTGAAATATATCTTGGGTATTGAGGTTGCTCATTCTGAAAAAGGCATAACCTTATGCCAAAGAAAGTATGCTTTGGATATATTGTCTGACTCTGGTTTTTTAGCTGTTAAACCTGCCAACACTCCTATGGACCCTAATCTAAAATTGTCCTCTGTTACTGAGGATGGGGCTAAGTCCATAGATCAGACTTCTTATAGAAGGTTGATTGGTAGGTTG